TAATTGAGTTGGAGTTGATCAGAGTAGGAATTGATTTGAGGTTGGGTTGATCAAGGGTGGGGATTGATTTGAGTCTAGATTGGTCCTAAGATCTAAAGGGGTTTTAGGATCTAGGATCTAGGGAATCCTAGGCATAGAGTAGGCCCTAAGGTCTGGCTCTAAGAAAGGATCTTAAGGTCTAGAGTGGATTCTAGGATCTAGAATTAATCTGGAGTTTGAAAGGGCCTTAGCGACCGCATACAAAAATGAGGTCAACACTAATATATTTTGAAAGAATTATTTTACTCTTGTGTGCACTAACATTTCAGGGAAATCATACTTCAGATTATTGAAGACTTCAAATCAAGATCAGTTTAGAGTTTATTATAACTAAAGTCTGTATTGTTCATTTTATTGAGTCTGAGAAAGTGTGATTGTAATTGAGTAACTGAGCACACACACATCGGGGGAGAGTTTAAAATTCATATTTTTTTAAACTAATCGTACTATATGATATAATTTTATACGAGACGATCTGGTTAATTATTTTCCCTAATGAGCAATCGAATGAATATAAATAATTTTTTTTCTAAATATGGATCATACAGGAAGATCCCAATTTGTACATGCTTTCACGAGTGCGAATGTCTCAGGTTCGTCTTTGCTCAAATTTTTTTTTCTAAGTACGAATCATACGGGATGATCCTATTCGTACATGCTTTCAAGAGTACGAACGTCTTAGGTTCCAGGTCGTGTAAAAATATTTTTTTTTAAGTATGGGTCGTATGGGACGATACCAGTTCACATAGGCTTTCACGAGTACGAACGTCTTGAGTTTCAGGTTGCTTAAAAATAATTTTTCTAAGTATGGATCATACCATACGAACATAGTTCGTATATGCTTTCACGAGTACGAACGTCTCGGGTTCCAGGTCGTGAAAAAAGATTTTTTTAAGTATAGATCGTATGTGTATTATACAAACCCACTTAGTACATTCCTTCCAGAGCATGAAAATGTGAGGTCCCATTTCGTTCCGACATTTCGTTTAGATGAAATTTGAAAATTTTCATACTGTTCGTTCCGAACGAACTTGGTTCATACTGGACAATATTCGAGTACAAAATAATTTCATATCGATTCACAATAGGTTCGTATGCAACAGTATTTGAACTATTTGTATGTATGAAATATGATCGTACTGTATGATAGTTTAAGCTCAAAATAAAAAAAATTCAGTTTTCTGGATGATTTTTTGTGTCTTTTGTATAAAAGGTCCATTAAGAACTGACATAAAAAATCTTATATTCATGATTTTTCAAGAGCAATTGAAGGAGAGAGTGTGAGAGAGTGTTTGAGATAGATTTTTTGCAAGTGGAGTGTGAAGAGTTCACAATGCTACTCAATGGTAAGGATCTCTTTGTAATTATAGTTATCACTCTTCCTCTTATCTTTCTAAATTGCTCATGATAAGATCTTCGAATAAGATCTGGTTTTATGCTGAGACTTAGAGAGTGTGAACAGATGACAGTTCTCTACCGACACTTAGAGGGTGTAAAAGGATAACGGTTCTCTGCAGAAACTTGGAGAGTGTGAACAGCCAAAGGTACTTGAAAGGATGAAGGTTCTCTTCATACACTTAGAAGGTGTGAAAGAATGATGGTTCTCTACCGACACTTAGAGAGTGTAAACAGCCGAAGGTACTCTGCTTACAGTTGGAGGGTGTGAAAGGATGAAGGTTTTCTGCCTACACTTGGAGGATGTGAAAGGACGATGGTTCTTTGCCGCACCGGGAATTAGTGAAAGAGAGTTTTGAAAAGGCTTCTTCGCCTTGCTGTGGGGGAAAAAGGAGAGTCACTTTTGCTAATAATTCAATACCTGAAGAGGGAGTCTTCAGGGAGTAGATGTAGGTCGTGTTTGATCGAACTACTATAAATCTTTGTGTCATTAAATTTTTGCTGCTTACTTACTACAAGTTTTTAATTCCATGGTTGATTTGAAACTTTAATTAACTTGCTTTGTGAAACAATCGGTTTCAAATTTTAAAATCTAAAAGAATTTTTAAAATTACCAATTCACCCCCCTTTTGGTTAACCTTAGGACATAAGCTTAGGTTTAACAAACTATTAAAGATTCAACAACTTCAATTGCGGTGGTGAGGGAGGCTGAGAGGAAGAAAACTTTTGGAAATCATTCCCAAATTTTGAATTATAAGATGAGAAGGGCTTTAAAGGCTTTGTTTTACTAGAGCAAAGCCAAGCTTAAAAACTTAAATCATTCAAAGGAAAGTCTTAAGAAAGAAATCTTGGAACTACAAGCTAAGGAAGCAGATTTTGGACCTCTCTCGATTGAAGAAAGCTGGTCATTAAAGGCTAAAAAAATGAATTGAATTCAACCTTGGCTCGGTTATGAACGTGGTGGAGGTAGCAGGCTAAGGTCAAATGGTTAGTGGAAGGTGATTGCAATTCTAGGTTTTTTCAAGCCTTTGCTAGTGCAAGAAGAAACTCCAACTTCATATACAAGATCAAAGATGAAAATGGGCTGGCTGTCGAAGATCAACATTAAATTGATAATGTTTTATTCTGTTTCTTTAAAGAAAAATGGAGAGATAGAAGCTGCTCTATAGATGGATGGCCTAAACAATGGAGATGTTTGAATGAAGAGGATATTATTATGTTGAACAAAGAGTTCTCCTTGGAAGAAGTGGAGACATGGATCAAGAAAGTTGGTAGGAACATTGCTCCTAGAAATGATGGTATTTCCTACTCATTTGTTAAATCTTATTGGACCATTATTAAAGAAGATTTTTGGAATGCAGTTAATCACTTCTTCTATTCTGGGGAAATGTGAAAAGAATGAAAAGATACTACTATAGTGCTGATCCAAAAGGTAAATAAACCTACATCTCCTTCAAATTTTAGACCCATTAGTCTATGCAACACCATTTATAAAGTAGTTGTCAAGGTTATATTGAATAGACTGTTGCTTATTATCCCAAAGTTGAACTCTGAAGAACAAGTGACATTTCTGAAAGGTATGTCACTTTCAGATCATGTCCTTGTAGCCCAAGAAATCTTTCACAAGTTCAGGTATTCTAAATCTTCTAAAGGTTTAGTTTCATTCAAAATAGATATGTAGCAAGCTTATGATTATATAGGGTGACCCACTTTGGTGAAAGTTTTAGACTTTTTTTGTTTCCCTATCAAAATTTCTAATCTAATTATGGAATGTGTTCATAATCCTACCTTCTCTTTGTTAATAAATGACAATTTTACTAATTGGATCGATGCTAGGAGTGGTTTTCGACAAGGTTGCCCTTTATCACCTTTCTTGTTTATTATTTGCTCTTAACTCTTATCGAATGCCTTTTTGCAAAGAAGAGAGACAATTGGAGTTCATATTTGTCCAAATGGGCCAAAGATTTCTCACTTACTATATGCAAACGACATAATTATCTTCTCTGAAGCCAGGTTGAAGATGTTGAAGGAGATTAAAGGTATTTTAATGGATTTTAGTGGTTGGACAGGGAAAAAGGTAAACATTAGTAAATCATATTTTTTTTTGGAAAATCAGTGAATAGAAGGAAAAGAAAAGCAATTTCAAGAATTATGGACTTCAAATTGGTTAAGGAATTCTCTTTTTTGGGTGTCAAAATAGCATTGAGAAGACTAGTAAGAGCAGATTTTTAATTCATCATAGACAAAGTTTTGAGAATGCTGAACATTTGGGGTGGCAAATTCATTTCTTTAGCCAGGAGGATCACTCTTGTCAAGTTGGTTTTACTTTCTTATCCAACCTTTCATTCTACCCTTTCATTGATTCTGAAAGGTGTTTTGAATGAAATGGATAAGCTGTGCATAAGTTTCATCTGGAACAAAAAGGACAAAGATCTTGGGCTTAATTATGTTAACTGAGATTTTGTGTATACTGAAGATTTACGGAGGCCGAGGACACTCATGTTCAAAAAAAGCTAGACCGTTAAGAGCCAAACTTGCTTGGAGGTATAGTCAAGACAAAGATTCATTATTGCACAAGGTTCTTTTCCCGAAGTATGGTTCAATTTTTGATGCTGGTACTTCGAAGAAAGCATGTTCAGTAGCTTGGAAATTGATTAATGATGGAGGGAAATTCCTTGAGCCAATTGTTAGATGGAGTATTGCTAATGGTGAATCTATTGATGTCTTCAAAGATACTTGGATTATGGACAAAAATATTGATAGATGACCAACATTTATGTTGTCACAAGATAACAACGAAGCAATGGTTGACATGTTCATTTCCAATGGTTGCTGGGATGTAAGGAAATTGAATAAGTACTTTGGGAAGGACCTTATGGAACTTATTAGAAAAAAATAGATTTCATCTGATCTTTCAAAAGACAAATTGGAGCTTATTCAACAGAATTTCGACAAGTCTATTTCTAATTTGGCAGCTGAAGCATTGGAACAAGATTAATTTGTTTTTATTGGAGGTGTTTTTTGAGACTGCAAGGGTATATTTTTGTTCGCATTTGGTCATGCTTGTGTTCATTGGGATATATCAAGGTTGGAGCTTCTAGCTATTTAATCTATCAATGATGTTATTAAAGATTGGATGTTTGCTTATAAAGATTTAATCATTGAAAGTGATAATAAAAATATTATAAAAGTTCTTTAGAATGCTGTTAGAAGAGGTGGACAGGAGTTGGGGGATCTCTCTTTTATCAAATATTTCAATTACGTTATCTTTAATTGTATAGATAGAAAATGTAATAAGTTAGCAGATTTTTGTGCTAACTATGTTATCTTTAGTTCTTTTATTTGGAAAGATATTGTTATGAATAAGGTTCCTCTTTTTTTTATTAACTTGTTGAAGAAGGAATCACATGCTACTAGCTTGTAGTTTGTATTTTTTTTTTCTTTAGTTATTAATGTAGCCATTTGCTTTAAAAAAAAAAAAAAAAAACAAAGCCAAATTATATCCTCCCGAAATACCCAATTGGGCTTATCTAATTAAGCATTGAGACCTCCACGGACTGCAATTTTGGGCCCATAAAATGGTTATGGCTGCTGGAATTTAGGGCTATTCCGCTACGTGCGATAGCAGATACTTTCTGCACGAGGCTCGCGAGCGGCGAGTTCCTAATTTCGCAGGGTCGGTCGATGCGTCGCGGGATTTGGTGTTATTGCCGCAGGATCTCTTGTTTCCAACGCTGGATCTCTTGTTTCCATCGCTGGATCTCGTGATAAGGTTGCTAGATCTAATGTTTCTTTCGCTCGATTTTATTTTCCAGTTTCTGGATCTTGCGTTCCGGGTTTTGAAATTCATAAGGGGATCTTATTCCGTAAGTACCTTTTTGGAGATGTGATCGGTGCGATATAAAATTGTTTTTATTTATTTTTGTCTATCAGCGTTTTATGCATGGGGTTGGCGACGACATATGGAATTTCTTTCAGCTGAGTTTGGTTTTTTTCCCCCAAATCCAAGTTGCTGTGAGAATGGTTCTATTAATGATTATGTCTACTAATGATTTTTACGTTTTTCCACAAAATTCCTGGACAACTGTTCTTTCATGATAACTTTTGTTTAGCGACTTTAGGTTAAAATATATTTTTTTTGCATTTTAACCTTAATATTTCTCATTACCTGTTTTCTAATGGATTAATATTTGCGTTTTTATTTTTCAAAATTTCGCAATTACATAGAAATTTTATATGAAGTAAATAAATGAACTATTTTCCTAATGATTTTTTTTTTATTTGACATTGTACTGTTTGAATTAGTAATTTCTTCTATTCTATGCGTGCTTGGGTGTGATAATCACTGCTTGTGTGCATATTTGAAGCATCCTACGCTTTGAACCCTTTCATCGTTGATTAGGCATGGCTTAGTTCCTTAGGCCTTATTTTACTTGCCTTAATGTATGCATTATTTATCTCCTTTTATTCTCAAATTTGGTAGGCTTGGCGAATGAATTTTTGGAGATGAGGGTTTAGTGATCATAGAATACTTCATGGAGTATGAGTTCTTGCATGCATGTTTTGTGGAATCTTGTTTTGCAATATTAACAAGGGGCTTTCATGTTTTTCCGCTAAGAGATTCCCATTGCTTGCTCTGCTATTGTTATTGTTGGTGCCTTAACGCTTTGTAGTTGGTATGCAATAATAGTGCCTTAATGTGGGTTGTGGTACTCTTTTGTGGTTTAGTTGATACCTAATACCAATTTTTCTTCATTCTCACTCTAAGATATGTTCTTTTAGTATTTCTTGCAGAAGCCCTAAAGCATCGACTTCTCAAAGTGCCACCTCTCAATAATCAGAAATCATTTTTATATCCAAATATCTTCGTTTTGTCCATCTAGTTCTCAGGACCCATATTGTAACTCCCCTTCATTGGCAGACATGGTAAGTTGTTGTGAATCTAAGTTTTAACCCATTAATTTCATAAGTTATGTGATTTTGTGCTAGAAAATATATATCGATAAAATGCTCTTATCAACATGTCCAATTACCATATTTTATAGTTTTTTTAATTGTATTCTCCCGTAATAGTTGCTACTTGAATATCATTACGGAACTCCAATGGATATATGTTCAATATTTTATAAATTGGTTAACATAACCTTGCCAAGGTATTGGTTTTGGTATTTACTCTCTAAGCTATCTTTCATTTGGCTTTTTTGCTTTCTGAATTTAGTCTTGACTAGGGGTGTTAGTGTGCCGAGCCAGCTCCAGCTCAACTCGATAACAAGCTTACGAACCGAGCTTATCGAGCTACAAGCTCGAGCTCGTTTATTAAATGGCTTGGTTCGTGAGCTCGCGAGCAGGTTCAAATCATAATTAATATTTTTAAATCATGTTTATTTATTTATTAAATTTAAGAAACCCGCTGCATTGTTAAAAATCTCTCGTTCCCACCTGGGTTTTGATATTCCCTCTTGCGAATTTGCGGAATGAGGAGGAACGCGAGTATGGGAGTGCGGAATGAGGTGGGCCGCCTGCGTGGGAGCTCGGAACGAGGTGGAATGCTCGCGTAAGGCTGTTGGAGCTCAAAACTCAGAAGACGGACGACACGTAGGCTTGCTAGGTTGCAGAAGGCGGCCCGAATTACCAATGCTCGAGAGCGGCTAGAGCTCATTTATAGTGGTACGAGCTTAAGTTCAAGCCGGCTTTTTGACTGATGAGCCGAGCTCGATAGTGCCATTACTTGACTCGACTCGACTTGTTTACAACCCTAGCCTTGACACAAGATGACCCAAGGTTAGGGTTCCTATTGTAATTAATATGATGCGTAATATAATTTCATGCAAAGGAAAATTGAATAATCATGGAAACAAGTTACTAATTTTTACGTCATCTCATTCAATAAATGAATACAAATGATACTTTAATTTAAATCTAATTGATAAAGATGTTCAAAATAATTTGAGAATTTTTTGCAATAAATTGGAAACAATTTTATTAAAAAATGAATTAAATTTTATGTTCATAAATTAGATTTTTTTGTGGATATCACAACAAATTTCTTTATTATTTTTGAATTGTGAGTAAATTATAATCACGTAATTTCATGCCATTTAAATATAATAATAGAAATGCCATATTTCCATATCAAAATTGTGTCTTCTTTTGTGGAATTTCTTCTTAACAAAAAAATCTTTCAAAGTAAGATTTATTATCTTAAGATTTTGTTGGTGCATGAGGAAGTTAATGCTTTGTGGGAAGTAGTAGCTTTTAATATTAATAATGTTACAAAGGATGTGCTCAGATTATCAAAATGAAAAGCTTTTAATAGTAAAAATAGTTGGTGGTGGAATCAAAAAGTGCAAGAAAGATCATAAATAAGAAGCTCTGTTATAAAAATTGGTTTAGATGTAAAAATTATAAAAATTGGGAAATATATAAAGTTGTATGTAAGAAATCTAATAAAACATTCTGCAATGCAACGACTTTAGTTTTTAATGATTTATATAATAGATTATATACTAAAGAGGGCAAAAGATATATGTATAAGTTAGCCAAACAATGAGATATGAGTAGTAAGGATTTAGTTCAAATGAAGTGCATTAATGATTAAAATAAAAAAGTACTTTTTTTAAAAGAAGATATTCAACAAAGGTGAATGAGATATTTTGCTAAACTTTTCAATGAAGATTGTGAAACTGTGATTGACTTTAGTGGCCTTAACACTTAAAATGAAAATAAAGATTTTGTTTTTATGGGCGTATTACTAAAATTAAAGTTAGAGAGACTTTAAAGAAAATGAAGTGTGGGAAAACTTTTGGATTTAATAATTTTTCAATAGAGATGTGGAAAGGTTTAAGAGATGAAGGAATTTCTTAGCTTACTAAATTTTTTAATATTATTTTGAAGGCTAATAAGATGCCAGATGTGTGGAGCATGAGTGTGTTGATTCCTTTCTTTTAAAATAAAGGTGATGCACAGATTGTGCAACTTATAGAGGAATTAAGCTGATGTGTCATACTTTAAAACTATGGGAGAGAGTTATTACATTATGATGTGATACTAATGTTTCTCAAAATCAAATTGGATTCAT